CTAAACCCTACATCTTAGACCCTAAACCCTAAACCCCAAATCCTAAACCCCTAAACCCTAAACCCTAAATCCCTATAGTTGGAACTAAGGATGGCAGTAAGTCGGACATGTTGACCTCGGAGCTTCACGCGCAAGGCGGTATGGAGAGTCCAGTCAGTGACGAGTCTCGGCCGCAGCGGGTTCAGGGTTTAGGGTCTAGGNNTAGGGTGTGCAGGGTTTAGAGTTTAGGATTTAAGGTTAGGGTTTTGGGGCTTCCCTGAATTGTTGGTATTTTTTGGGGTTGCAATAATAAGGACTGTAGTATAGTAGTTTGTGGTCTATACTGGGGTGCACTTATCTAGGGCCACTACCATACATAGGACCTAGGATTTATGGTTAGCAGGGTATCTATGGTTTCGGGTTTCGCAGCTAAGTTATCTGGGATTCAGGGTTAACAGGGTTAGGATTTCGGGGCCTTAAGCCCTGAATCCTAAACTTCACAAATCCTAAGCCCAAAACCCTAAACCCCAAACCAATAAATCCCACACCCTTCATCCTAGACCGTAAATGGTAGTTTCCCAAAATAGGGGGACCCCAATATAGGCCCCAAAATATTGTAATCCTGATTATTGGGACCCCTAAAAAGGTACCCCTAATCTTGGGAAATCCCCAAATCTCAAACCGCTGACCTACAGGATGCTCACTACGTAAGTGGTCCTTCTCGCTTCTGGCCCTCTGCTTGGGATACCCGTCAGGCTGCTGGGTTGGAGTTAAGGACTGGGTAGGCCCCTGGGATTTTTTTTTTTTGGTAATGGCTTTAATAGGGGACCCTATATACAAATATTTTTCAAAAAGTTTCAGGGGCCAATTCAGAGGAACTCAATTTAAGTTAGTATGTTGGGGGCTATACAAAACGTACCCTGAACCCTAGACCCTTGTAGGGTTCAGGATTTTTTTCCGAAAAACAAAAGCAAGCCGAGGCTACCAAGCAAGACATTCACCCTATGCCCACCTCGCCTCGACTGTCGGAAGTTGCAGAAGGCCTTTCGCAGGAAGATCCTTGGGTTTTAGGGTGTAGGGTTTAGGGTTCCGAAACTTTATGAGGGTTTAGGGTTCTTTTCAATTTGCACGGAGCGCAAGGTTAAGCTTGTATTCTTAGGGATCCTTGTAAATAATTCTTACTTTTTGCTCATAGTAATCCTAAGGAACGGCAAAAACCAAAAATTTTCGCTAGGGTTCCAAGTTCATCAGTAAACCCTAAACCCTAAACCCTAAACCCCCTGAACACTAAACTATTGGGATCAAGAGCAACCAAGGAAGATGGGCACAGGATGAAAGCAAACCTTGAAGCCATGCTCGAGCTCCTGGGTGGTACTTTACTGGGTTGATGTTAAGGAACTTAAATTAAGTTACTACATTGGGGAAACCCTATAGGGGTTTAGGGTTTAGGGTTTAGGAACTTAAATTAAGGGATTATCCCCCTATAATGGAGAATCAAAGGGAAAAGAAAATGGAAAATGAAATGGAAGCTGAGTGAATACAGGGATTTAAGGAGCTTAAGTTAAGTTACTACATTGGGGAAGCCCTATTATTCACTACATATACCCATTATGATAACTTAATTTAAGTTCCTTAACAGCAACCCAGTTTAGGACATTTTCCCGCGTCCCTCATGGCTCCAATGAAGGAAACCTTAAACCCAAACGCTTAAGCCTAAACCTTAAACCCTAGGCCCTTAGCCCTGAACGCTTAAGCCTAAACCTTAAACCTTAATCCCTAACACACTAAATCCTCAAACCCTAAACCCTAAATCCATAACTTTAAGTCACAACACCCAGGTCTGCGATGTCCCGACTTGAAACCAAGTTGGATATAATCCTTGCGGAGGATCACGTCAGACCCAGAGATCCTGGGTTGCTGCTAAGGAACTTTGGGTTTAGGGTTTAGGGTTGCTATAATCAGGAAACCCTAGTATCTAGTATATACCCATATGATGGTAA